AGTATATAGGCATGTCTTGTTTTATTGCACTTCAATTTATTGCACTTCGCAGATACCACATTTTTTTTTTTTTACAAATTGAAGGGTTTTGGCAACCCCGAGTCATGCAAGTCCATTGGCACCATTTTTCCAACAGCTTGTGCTTTTGTGTGTCTGTGTCACATTTTAGTGACTCTCATAAAATTCCAAATTTTATCATTATTATTATATCTGTGATTGTGATCTGTGATCAGTGATCTTTGATGTTACTATTATAATTGCTTTGAGGTGCCACAAACCACATTCATACAGGAAAATGAACTCAGTAGATCAATGATGTGTGTTGTGACCACTCCACTCACCAGCTGTTTTTCCACCCCTCTCCCACTCCTCGGGCCTCCCTGTTCCCTGAGACATAACAATACTGAAATTAGGCCAAGCAATAACCCTACGATGGCCTCTAAGTGCTCAAGTGAAAGGAAGAGCTTTGTGTTTCTCACTTTAAATCAAAAGGGTAGAAATGATTAAGCTCAGTGAGGAAGGCATGTGGAAAGCTGAGACAGGCTGAAAGCCAGGCCTCTTGGCCAAACGGTGAGCCAAGTTATAAATGCAAAGGAAAAGTTCTTGAAGGAAATTAAAAGCGCTACTCCAGTGAACACATGAGTGGTAAGAAAATGAAATGGCCTAACTGCGGACTTGGAGAAAGTTTCATGGTCTGGGTAGAAGATCAAACCAGCCCCAGGATTCCCTAAGCCAAGGCCTAATCCAGAGCAAGGCCCTAACTCTCTCCAATTCTGTGAAGGCTGAGAGAGGTGAGGAAGCTAGCAGAGGTTTAAGGAGAGATGCCGTCTCCATAACATACAAGTGCAAGGTGAAGCAGCAAGTTATCCAAAGAATCAAGCTAAGAGCACAGATGAAGGTGGCTCCACTAAACAAAAAATGTTTAGTGTAGACGAAACAGTCTTATGTTGGAAGGAGATGCCATCTAGGATTTTCATAGCTAGAGAGGAGAAGTCCGTGCCTGACTTCCAAGCTTCAAAGGACAGGCTGCCTCTCTTGTTAGGGGCTGATGCAGCTGGTGACTTTAAGCTGAAACCAGTGCTCATTGACCATCCTGCAAGTCCTAGCGCCCTTAAGAATCATGCCAAATCTACTCCGCCCATGTTCTGCAAATGGCACAACTGCAAAAAAGCCCAGCTGACAGCACATTTGTTTATAGCACGGTTTGCTGAGTATTTTAAGCCCACTGTTGAGACCTACTGCTCAGGAAAAAAGATTCCCCTCAAAATGTTTCTGCTCATGGACAATGCACCTGATCACCCAAGAGCTCTGATGAAGATGTACAGGGAGTTTAATGTTAATTTCATGTCTGCTGATATAACATCCATTCTACAGCCTATGGATTAAGGAGCAATTTTGACTTTCAAGTCTTATTATTTAAGAAATACATTTTGTAAGACGAAGGCTGCCATCTATTGCGATTCCTCTGATGGATCTGGGCAAAGTAAACCGAAAAACCTTCTGGAAAGGATTCGCCGTTCTCGGTGCCATTAAGAACATTCACGATTCATGGGAGAAGGTCAAAATATCAACATTAACAGGAGTTTAGAAGAAGTTGATTCCCACCCTCCTGGATAACTTTAAGAGGTTCAAGACTTCAGTGGAGGAACTGCAGATGGGGTGGAAATCACAAGCCAACTAGAATTAGCAGTGGAGCCTGAAGATGGGACTAAACTGCTGCAATTTCATGATCAAACTTTAACAGATGAAGAGCTATTTCTTATGGACGAGCAAGGACAGTGGTTTCTTGAGAGGGAATCTGCCGCTGGTGGAGACGCTGTAAACACTGTTGAACTGACAACAAAGGATTTAGAGCATTACGTAAACTTAGTGGATTTCTACTGAGCGTAAAATGCCTTCAAATTGCAGGACTATGCTACAGAGAACTCTACTGTGAAAAGAAGAGTCGATCAATGCAGCAAGCTTGATTGTCATCTTAATTTAAGAAAGTGCCACAGCCATCCCAACCTGCGGCGACCACCACCCTGACCCGCCGGCAGCCATCCACGTCAAGGCAAGACCCTCCACCAGCAAAAAGATTATGATGCACTGAAGGCTCACATGAGTTTTAGCATTTTTTAGCATTAAAGTATCTTTTAATTAAGGTAGGTGCATTGTTTTTTAAGACATAATGCTTTGTCCACTTAATAGACCATAATATAGTATAAACATCACTTTTATACGTACTGGGAAACCAAAAAAATTCATCTTTTTTTGCAACACTTGCTTTATGGCAGTGCTTTGGAACCAAACCTGCAATATCTCTGAGGTATGCCTATACTTATCCGAAATAAGTTTCACAAAACAACACTAATACCCTCAACGCATGCAACGTGTTCCAATATATATTCTAGCCTAGCTAGTCTATTTCATTTTTTTAATGCTGGTCACAGCTCATTAAAACAATGCCACCATCCACGAATGGGTCATGACCACAGATTTAAAAACACAAATGTATTCCAACCCCTGTGGTCCACAGATTTTGAGAAAGCTAAGACTCAGGCGGGTCATATCCAAAGTCACAGTGTCATTTCCTGGCAGAACCAGGGCTAGCTCAGACCAATGTGAGTGTTGGCTGTTGTTATCAGTCTGATCATTGGAACTCAACTCAACAAACGCCTGCCTAGAAACCCTTCCTTAATCTCCCTGGTCAGAATTCATCTCTAGCCCCGCTCCCCTTCCCCACATTGTCGGGGTACTATTGTGTTGGATATTTTGTGTTGGATACTATTTTGTGTTGGATACTATTTGTGTTGGATATTTTTTAACACCCCCAAGGCCAGGTGCCCCGAAGTGATGAGCTTGCTAACCCAGGCAGACAGGCAAAGCTGGACTCTGCCTGAATCCTGACATATACAATTTCCAAAACAAAAAAAAAAAACCACTGAAGGTGGCTGGGTCATTTGGGAGACCTTGAAGAAGAGGGTGATTCAGCCCAATCCAGACAGAATAAATCCCTCAGGGGCCTGGGGAAAGACATTTAAAAAGCAAAGGGCAGCCTCTCTCACGTGGCCACTCTCTTGCAGATTAAAAGGTGATATGCCCAGAGACTCTGCTTTCGGATCAAGTTCCGCCTCGCTCTGTGGTGTGCACAGCGAAGGGGTGAGGGAGGCGCATGGAGGGTGAGGACACCACAGCAAGCAGACCCCAAGTGGGACACTGGAGCAAGCAGACGCCTCTTGCACCTTTGCAGCTGTCACTCCCTGCGACTCTAACCCACGCTCTTGCCCGGAGGTCTCAGCGTGCCCCCACCTCTGTGGCTCTCACAAAACCATGAAAATCAAACCCAACTCTGATCACAAAAGCATCTGTCCTCTGCATAAGCCTGGCAGATCCCAAACACGTCTTCTAGGCCTCCAAGCTGGGTTGCACGCAGCAGCCTGAATTTTACTTCCGTAAAACTTAAATCACTTTGGGCTACTCCCAGTGCCTTAGAAAGGAGAATCAGCCTCTACACCATGACATCCAACGGGGCTTGACAAACTAGAGCCAATGTGGCCAATCTGGCCAGGGACCTGCTTTTATAAATAAAGTTTTATTGGCACACAGCCACATCCCTTTATTTACCTATTGCCCGTGGCTGCTTTTGTGCTAGCGAGGCAGAGTTGGGTAAGTGCACCAGAGCCCAAATAGCCTGTGAAGCCTAAAATATTTACCATCTGGCCCTTTAGAGGTAAAGTTTGCGAAACCTTGGCTTGTTGGATCCTGCCTCTTTTTTTTTTTAAAGAGGTAGGGTCTAGCTCTATCATCCAGGCTGGAGTGCAATGGTGCAGTCATAGGTCACTGCAGCCTCAAGCAATCCTCCTGCCTCAGCCTCCTGAGTAGCTGGGACTACAGGTATGAGCCACCATGCCCAGCTCTTAACTTTTCTTTTTAATGATGGCAAATGATGCATAACATCAAATCTACCATCTTAACCATAGTTTCTAAGTGTACCATTCAGTGGCATTAAGTACATTTGCACTGCTGTGCAATCACCACCACTATTCACGTCCAGAATGTTTTCATCATCCCAGACTGAAACTCTGTGCTCACTAAATGATACCTCCCCACTTTCCCTCCCTGCAGCTCCTGGCAGCCACCGTTCTACTTTCTGCCTCTATCAATTTGACTATGCAAGGCACCTCGTATCAGTGGAATTATATTAACACAATGACACTAAATGACATATGAAATTAATATCACTTGTTCTTGTCAATTCTTTTTAATGTGGCTACTAGAAGATGTACGGTTAATATTAATATCTATCTCCTAGCCTATTTCTGGGGGCAGGGTGAGGCCGGACTCCGTAGGGCAAAGCAAATTTTTCCTGTACAGTGCCAGAGGGTAGATATTTTCCGCTTTTGGGGCCATATTCAACTCGGCCATTGTTGCACAAAAGCAGCCGTAGACACAATACACAAAGGATTGAACACAGGCATGTTCCAATACATTTGATTTACAAAAACAGGCCGGCTATCAGATCTAGCCTCTAGGCCACGGTCTGCCAAACCGTACTCTAGAGCTGGGGTCCCCAGCCCCCAGGCCACGGGAAGACTGTGTTCCATGAAACTCAGGACCGGGGCGCGCGGCAGGAGGGAGCGGTGGGCGCGAGCGGAGCTTCATCCGTATTTACAGCGGTTCCCGTCGCCGGAGCTCCGCTCGCCCACGGCACCCCACCCCGTCCCCGCGGGTGGAAAAGCTGTCTTCCATGAATCCAGGCCCCGGTGCCAAGAAGGTTGGGGACGGCTGCTCTAGAGGAATCGCAGCACGTTTAAATGGCCAATTCTGGGAAAGTCCATTCTGTTCATGTTCTCGGAACCCTCCGTGAAAAGCCACCTTCTTCGTTCCGCTGGAGTCGGGACACAGCTGTTCCCGCGTGCAGACGTGGGCAGCCCCACCCCCACCCCGGGCCCCACCCCCACCCCACCCACCCCGCCCGCTGCCAGGCACCCCCGCCCCGCCCGCCCAGCCGCACTCACTTGGGCGTGTGGGCCTCGTCCGCGCGCTGGCCCAGCTGGAACTCGTGGGACTTGCTCCGATGCAGCGCCGTGAACCCCGGGATCAAGTGGATCAGCTTCCGGGAGGAGGGCGGCGGGGTCCCGGGGGGCTTCAGCTTGTTCTTCCTCCTCATGGGCGGCGTGCCCGGCGGGGTCACGGTGGTGACGATGTTGGGGGTGCGCGGCGGGGTGCGCACGGCGTGCCGCTGCCGCGGCGACGGGGGCAGGGAACGGTGGCCCGACTCCAGTGGCGGCGGCGGGCACAGGCCCGGGTGGGCGTCCACGGTGAGCCTGTCCGCGTGCGCGTGCACAGGGGCCCCGGGCGTGGGGCTGGGGTGGCAGAAGTGCTGGGCGCACTTGGACTGGAGCCGGGGGCTCTGGGAGAGGTGGGTGCGGATCCACGGGGTGGGCTCCGCGGGGCACACGGGAGTGTTCTCCTTCCCCGTCTCCGTGGTGGGCCACTGGATGGTCCAGTCCTGTTTGGAAAGGTTGCCTCCTGAGTGGGAACAGAGGAGCAGAGAGACAGGAAGTCAGGACAGGTGCCCCGTGTGCTCACACATCCTAGGCATGTTCTAGAATATGCACATTACATCCCAGGCATGTTCTAGCATATGCCATTACATCATTGGCATATTCTAGCATATGCACATTACATCCTAGGCATGTTCTAGCATATGCACATTACATCCTAGGCATGTTCTAGCATATGCACATTACGTCCTAGGCATGTTCTAGCATATGCACATTACGTCCTAGGCATGTTCTAGCATATGCACATTACGTCCTAGGCATGTTCTAGCATATGCACATTACGTCCTAGGCATGTTCTAGCATATGCACATTACGTCCTAGGCATGTTCTAGCATATGCACATTGCGTCCTAGGCATGTTCTAGCATGTGCACATTACGTCCTAGGCATGTTCTAGCATGTGCACATTACGTCCTAGGCATGTTCTAGCATGTGCACATTACGTCCTAGGCTTGTTCTAGCATGTGCACATTACATCCTAGGCATGTTCTAGCATGTGCACATTACGTCCTAGGCATGTTCTAGCATATGCAAATTACATCCTAGGCATGTTCTAGCATATTCGCATTACGTCCTAGGCATGTTCTAGCATATGCACATTACATCCCAGGCATGTTCTAGCATATGCACATTACATCCTAGGCATGTTCTAGCATATGCTGGTTACATCATGTCCACATTACATCCTGAGCATGTTTACATAAATACACCCACGCCCACTTAGCGCCTCCAGAAAGGAATGAAATCCCTTTGTTGACCCTGCTCCACTCAACAGCCTGGCGGGGGAGCCCACAGCCCAAATGCCCAGAAAAGCAAAGAAGTTAATTCTTGCCTTTTGAGTCTCCAAGGTTCCCAATTCCAGCAGTTTCAAAGTGATTTAAAGGATTTTCAAGGATAGCTTTTCTCTCACATGGCAATGTTGATAGCTCACCTCCACACTAGACACAAAAATTCCAAGGGAGCCAAGTTCGCCCTTGGGCCCTCCCCGGCCACTTCTGTGGCCACTGCATGCATCCTCCGGGTCTGCGTCACCGTGTGCTGCACTCGCCCAGCAAACATTTGCTGAATGTTGGTGAAGCGCCGGGCGCCGTGCTTGGGAAGACACAAGAGCGACACAGACGACACCCTGGTCCCCGGACGTGGATTCTGCCAGAGCAGAGACTTGACCGACCAGAGAACATGCTCTCTGAAGGATTTCAGATGGCTACTAGTGACCACAGACCCCCAGGCCCACGGGCCAAGGTGCAGCGAGGATTTCCCGCCAAGTTCAATGGGAAGCCATTGAGGGTTTGGAGGCAGTGGAGACACTCGATCTAACGTTCATTTCTAGACGATCACTCAGGCTGCTGCTGGAAGAGTCGCGCCCAAATGAAGGGTATCGCGGGGACAACGCAAGAGGCGATGCCGGCTCTGATGTGGGAGGTGACAGCAGAGTCAGTGGAGAAAGAGCTGGCAGGACCCGGAGGAAGGTAACCGTGTGGGCGCTCCCACTGTGGGTCAAGGGAGGAGATTTGGGGCGGAAAGAAATTCCAAGTCGTAGCCGACTAGCAATGACAATAATAATTACCCTAACAACCATAACAAGAGCTAATTTATAGAGCACTTGACGGTTTACAAAGTGCTTTCATGAGCACGGACCCACTGTCCCATTTTTAATTAAAACAACTCATTTTGTTATTACACATTCATTACAGAAAAATTAGAAAATTCAGATAAGGAAAAAGGCAATGCTATTCCACAGCCTAGATGCATCCCTATTAATGTTTGGCTGTGGAGCCTTCCAGATGGTTTTCTGTGCATTTGGGGGCTTTTTATTTTAGGGAAAAAAAAATACCATGAAGACCTTATTTAATAGTTCATCATTTGCTTTCTTGTTATATTGGGACTGTTTTATATCTTAATTTTTGTAACTCTGAACTAAAGGCTATTTTGATCTTCATTTTGTAGATAAGGAAACTAATGCAGAGGTGAAGGTGTGCCCAAGGTCACAAGAGATGGTAACTGGCAGTCCAGATTCAAAGCCTCAGCCACTTCGACAACCGGGACACGAGACGTCTGTGGCAGAGAGCTGGGGCGTGCGTTTGCCCAAGACCACAGACCATCACAGATTAATCAAACGAGAATAGCAGCTACGGCAAGCAAGGACTCACTCCCACAAGAACCCCCTTTTCCCTCCTCCCGGATTTGCCAGAACATTCTACCAAAGTCGCCATCATTATGATATCTACACACACACGAGCCCAGTGAGGAAGAGAGTTGGCGCTGGAATAAAATGCTTTGGGCTCCAAATCTGCCTTGCCCCTTCCTGACTGCGCGACCTTGAGCACTCATCTAACCTGAGTCTTGCTTTGTCGCCTACCTCGGGGACTACCGTGAGGATCAGATGCCATCACACAAGTAATGTTCTCAGCACAGCTCCCAGCACACAGTAGGCGCTTCGTAAATGTTAGCTACTCATAGCGCAATTCTCAGTGCTGCGGTCATGTGTCAATATCTCCCTTGCTTAGGGGGGTACAAACTCGTCGTCGGATTAGCCTAAGGAAAACATGTTTAAGAAAGCACATCTATCCTGTTGAGCTGTCTTAATCATATACTGCACGACGAAGCCACAAAGAAGTATGTGGGGCTTTGTCGCTATAAGCCGTGGCCCGCCCTGAAGGAGAAGGAAAGAATACAGGGTTGGCATCCTGGTCGCCACACGCAGCAGCGGGAAATGCAGGAGAAGGAAACTGAGCACAGAGGAGGCGGCGAGTTCGGGGTCAAGTTCAGGCAAGTTCAGGGTCAGACGCTGACTGAGTCGAGTTTCCTACAGGACACCCAGATGCCCGGGATGCGGCTAAACTTCCCCTTCTCCCCAGGAATCCTGGACCATGCCTCAGGGAGAAGTTAGTTTTCTAGCCTGAAAGGATGGACCGTGACGTTCTAGAATCTCCTGAGCCCATCCAAGACAGTGTCAGGCTCACCTTAGATGTTCATCTTCTTTTTTTTATATAAATACATGACTATTTAATCACATTCCCCTTTGTCTCCCGTCTGGTCCTGAATCTCTAGAATAAACATCCCCTGACCCCAAATCACATGCAGGTGAGAAAGAGGAGGTCACAAGATGCCACCCACTGCCTGATTCCCTCCAAAGGCAGAGAGCCACCTCTGCATTTGGAAGACTTTCTTTCTGAACTGAAAGAACAAGAGTTAATTTCTCCTAAATAAACATCCAGCAAGAAAGTAGGAGTTTTTATGATACCCAGGACACCCCTACCTTTGTAAGATGACACTTAGACATTAATTTGTCCCTACTTTTGCCACTGTGACTCAGTTTCTTCATTTGTAAACTGGGGGTAACAAGAGCACTTTCCTCTAGGGTTGCCCTGAGGATGAAATAAGACCACGCAAGTGGAGCATGTAGCATCATCTCTGGCACACAGCCAATGTTATATAAATGTCCATCTAAGATGGGGGTAAAATCATCTATTTCACACAATGCCACTGAGGATTTAATGAGATAAGCCTATAATCTGCCTTGCGTTGTGTTTGACACAGAGCTGGCACTCTAAAATCACCCAGTCCTCAGCCCTGGTCTTGCCGGGTGCTATTACCTACAGAAAGCAAGCCCACAGAATCAAACCCAACTGAGATTTTTTTTTTTTTTTTTGAGACAGAGTCTCGTCCCATTGTGCGGGCTAGAGTGCCATGACATCAGTCTAGTTCACAGCAACCTCAAACTCCTGGGCTCAAGTGATCCTCCTGCCTCAGCCTCCCAAGGAGCTGAGACTACAGGCGTGCGCCACCATGCCCGGCTCATTTTTTCTATTTTTAGTAGAAAAAATTGCTCTGGCTGGTCTCAAACTCCTGACCTCAAGCGATCCTCCCACCTTGGCCTCCCAGAGTGCTAGGAATACAAGCTTGAGCCACCACGCCGGGTTCCAACTGAGATTTTATTGTGGGGTGAACTGTGCCCCCCAAAAAAAAGATATTAAAGTCCTAACTCCCAATACCTTATTTGCAAATAAAATCTTTAGAAGAGGACACACCCGGGGGAACGTCATGGGAAGACAGAAGCAGAGACTGGAGTGAGGCAGCTACAAGCCCAGGAACACCAAGGATCGCCCACTACCCCCTGCAGCTGGGTGCGAAGCATAGAACAGAATCTTCCCTGAGACTCCAGATGCAGGGGTCCTCAAACTACGGCCCGAGGGCCACATGTGGCCCGCCAATGACATTTATCTGGCCCACAGGGTGTTTTTGCCGCCGCTGCCTGTCCTGCTTAGCAGCCGACTGGTCCTGGGCCCACAGTGCGCATGTGTGGAATGTGTGCCGCACTCTCCAACGGCTCTCCAACAGTCTGGGGGACAGTGAACTGGTCCCCTGTTTAAAAAGCTTGAGGACCCCTGATCTAGACGGAGCGTGGCCCTGCCAACCCCTTGCTTTCAGATTCTAAGCTCCTACACCTGTGGGAAAATACGTTTCTGTTGTTTCAAGCCTCCTGGTTTGCGGTGGCAATGCCACAACCGTCCCAGACATTCATACAGCCCTCGACCGGGAGCCGACACATTTGCTGAGCACTGACTGGGGAGTCAGATCGCAGAAGTCTGCACGTGGAGAGCAGTCGGACTACTCAGAGTTGGGGGATTCGGTGCTTATCTTACCTGCCCTGTACGGTAGATGTTATTGATCCATTTCACCAAGAAGGTTTGGGTAAGTGATGAGACATGGCTAAAGTCCCACGGTGGGTCGTAACCTACACCCTCGCTCTCAGGCTTAATCACACACACAGTCCCCTACAGCTGAGCTGAGCCCCCCACCCCATAGCCTACAGCCCCTCCACAGACAGACAGACAGACACACACACACATACTCGATTCTGCTGGGTTCGAGGCACTACTGAGTTGCCCATATGTTTTCTTTCCTTCCTTCAAGTTTTTTGAAGGATAAGAATAAGAATCTTTGAAGGATAAGAAGAAAGGAA